CACAACCCTTTGTCTGCAGGACAGAAATACATAGCTCCCCAAGGAAGGTTTTTGACAGGATTGCCTCATTTAGTGACCGTTCAAAGTTATGACAGTGTTAAAAAAAAAGCTTTGTAACCAATCCTTGCATTTATGACATGTCACAGCATCCCATGGTCATGTGATCACCATTTGTGTGCTTTGCAACTGGCTTGTGACAAGCAGAGTCAATGGAGAAGACAGAAGTAAAATCGTCTTAGTCATGTGAGGTTTCACTTAACAACCATGGCACTGAGCAATGGTGTTGCCAGTCCCAATTGTGGTAGTTAAGCGAGGACTACCTGCAGTGGGGAATGGGAGGGAAACCTCAGACCAGCTCTGCTTTCGCGGGTGTGGCACCATCACCCTCAGGTACAGGACTCCTGTTCTAAAATGACTCCAACAGCAAGTGGAGACTCTGGTTTGCATGTTGCGCTAAGCCATAATGTGGTTTATTTGGCTCTGATTTAGGAATTTCTATGAAACCAGCCATTGTGGTTTGTAATCAGCATCTGTGGGTTACTGTATTATGTGAGCCAGGCCGCCATGGCTTGTTCAAAAAACCCCCAAAGTTTACACAAATCATGGCATAGTGCAATGTGTGAATCTAGGCAGTGTGAGACCCATAATCTGGTTGACTCAGCCTCTTTTGGGCTCATGTCTGTCACACTTGATCTTGGGGACACAAACCTTTCACAGGTGCAGGGAATGCCCTTAGAATGCTGGGGCAAAACATACCTTTGTACTTCAGGCCACGTTTGCATCCTGGTTAATAAAAGAATCTTAGTTCCCTCCTTTGGCTGCTTGAAAAGCCACTGGCTGCATTCAGGGTTGCGGCTTCATCAAGTGCCTGTGCCATTCGACCATCTGTGGCACCCATCTACCGGTGAGCTGAATGACGTGTCTTGTGGGCATCGGCACACCCTGGAGAATGTCAAGTCAGGAAGGATGTTCCCACCAACCCCCTGCCCCGCCCCGCCCTCATCCCCTGCCTGACTCAGCCATTTCCAAAGGCAGCCATTATCTTCCCATGTAAAGGCAAAGACAGGTGAGTTGGGTGGAAGTGGGGTGGGGTGGGGTGGGCAGAGGCAAAGGACACCAAGGTGACCTGAGAAGGGATTCAGAGCAGGAAGGGAGCTGTTGACAAAGAGCTGGACCCCTGCCCTGCCTGACAACGGAGTTCTTCTGTAGAGGGAGCTGGATGGAGGGAAGAAGGAGCAGAAAAGGCTTGGAATGGCCTCTCCGGTCACATACCCTGCCAGCCCTGGGAAGTAGACAAAACACTCTGGGCAGGCTGCTGCTGATGAAGCCAACACAAACACACAGCAACAGTAAAAGACACCCTGACTTTCTCCCTTTGTTCCACTCCCTCCCAAACAGGGCTCTGGAAATTCATTGCACCCCCTACACACACACACACACACACACACACACACACACACGTACGTCTTGAGCAGTAGCATGACCCTTCACCTTTCCTGGCCACTGCTGACCTCCTCACTGTCCAGACTGGATGGTGCTTCCTGGCCTCTCTGTGCCTGTCTCTCATTAGGCGGAGACACGCGCTCAATGACGCAGCAGGGGCCCTTTGTGGAGTTCCCTAATTATCCAGCTAGGACAATAAAGGCTCAGGAGCTGAGCCAGGCACTACTTCCTGCAACCAGAGAGAAACAGAGCAGTCAGGTCTCCAGCCAGCAAAGCTCCACAGGTTGCCCTGGAGAAACAAGACGACCATGTAACATCCATAACTCAGAGAATCCCGAGATAGTCCTGGATGGCATCTGAGCCTGGTCTCCATCCCAAGGCCTTGTTCCCAATCATCTGCTCCCCCACTGCGGTGATTAAAGAGTCACAACTGTCTGCAGAAGACTGAGGGGATCAGGAAAAAAATTCTTACCTACTTTAAATGGTTTCTTAGGAGAGGTCTGGAGAAGTAGGTTGGATTGTGCTTAGAGCTAGTTTGGCATTTGGGGATAATATTCTGCTTGTACCTCTTGCTCCATCACAAAGATTTCTGCTTGAGCGGGCAAGCTTGAGAAAGAAGTAGTATATTGGTTTTTCAAACAGACACATCTGAGCTCTCCTCTTAGGCTGGACAGAGGTTCTGGGCTCCCAGCACTGTTTGCAGAATAAGAGGCTTTTCCTGCTCCCTTTGTGTTGCAGACAGCAACCGGAAAGAGAAAGAAGCATCATTTGTCACTTACTCTCTGGTTGCAGCCATTTCTAATAATTATTTAAGAGCACAGTGTAAAAGAACTCACTTTTTTGCTTGCAACTTTAATTAACACGGGAAACTGTATAACATTTTATCACTGTCCATTGGGGGCTACTCACTGTTATACACCACTAGGGTCCTGTGAATTATTAACTTGACTGCTAAGGCCTGCAAAGTAAGAAGCTGGAAACGTTTGTGTGAACTAACCAGGGTAAGCCAAGAAATTCACTTCCAGCTTTAATTCTTCTTTCTCTCTTTAAAATGGGAGGAATGGTGACCCTTCCCTCCAGGCAAAAGGCAATAGAAATTGCCAAATATTTCTTAATCAAAACTTATCACTTAAATTATGGCCAATAGAGGAAATCTCACATCAGTTCCCTACTTAGCTGTGGACAAAGAAAGTCTGCATTTTCCCCTACTGCTTCTTATTCAGTTTAATGAAAGTGATTTTGCCCAAGGAGAAATGTATCAACGTTCTCATTGATGGACTATGGTATTCTTGCCCATTGAGCTATAAGATGGTCAAAGAATATGTAAAAAGTGTGTCTTCCACTAGATATTAATCTCTTCAGTGATCCTCAGCCTCCTGGATCCCCAAGAGAAAATATAAGGATAATTTAGAGAAACCATCCACTCAATGTCTTTCTTACAAATTTGGTGGAAAGTTTTGAAAAATGTTTTGTGCTTGACAATAGTCTGGTCTTATCTCTGAACCTTCTCCTTTGCAAAACTGTCAGCTGTTGCCATGGCTGGTATACTCATATTAGGCTACAGTCACGCCAGAGAGCAGCCACCTCTTTCCCACTCCAAAACTTCTCCCTCCATTACTTCCAGACACAGTCCTTTGCAGATAGAAATTCCCACACATTCCAGACGGAACTCTATGGGGATGGGAGAAATGATTTATGGCTATGCTGCCCCAAACAGCTGCTCTACATCCAGGACATTTCACACACCTGCCATTCCTGCATTTGAAGGGCTGTTTTGTGCTCTTATTCTGCCCCAGCCCCCTTGTATTCTCCCCCAACCCAGAGGGAAGCTGTGGAGTTTGCCCTTTGGCTGATACAGTTTTGGGCCATGGTAGATGGATCCATTTGACACATAGAGAGTTTCTGATGTTCCATCTATTCATGCAGTGATGGAGGCAGTTTTACTTTCTGGCCTTTTGTTGTGCGAGACAAAGGGATTGTTTATTGTATTGGCAGAGGCAAAATAAGCGAGGGAAGATACCACCAACAAAATAGTCTTTAGTGTTACATGGACATCATGGCAGCATGATGCCATACAAGATGAAGAAAACAGGGTATTCTCGCTTCTCATGCTCCTATGTACAAAGTATTTATTTGTGAGTTTCAACAGGATTCACTTCATAATATGGACTATCCCTGGCTACTGGCAAATTACTGCAACATGGTCTCTGCATGGCTATCTTCGAGACTGATCCAGAAGCTAAAACTGGTGCAGAATGCCGCAGCTAGGTTTCTGACAGATGTGTTGTATCATCACACACACATTACAACTGTGCTAAAGAATCTGTACTGGCTGCCAGTCTGCCACCTACCCAGAGCCAAGCTGTTGGTATAGCATTTAAAGCTCTGAACCACTAGGGACAAAGTTACCTGAAACAACTTTACTTGGACCACTTTCCCAGGACCTCCGCTGCTCAGAGGAGTTTCTGCTCCCTCTGTTCTGCTTGCAGCTTGCTCTTTGGCAGCAACATGGCAGTAACTTCCCTGCAGCGTTGCCTACTCTGCTGAATAACCTCTCCTCTGCAGTATGCCAGGCTGCCACAGAGATGGGTTTTAAACAATTGAAAAACAGCTTTTTAGTTTGGCTTTCTTCAGCTATTAGCTCTCTTTTCTTTGAATAGAAAGGTGTGATTTTTACATTGATTTTCATTTGTGTTTTCATCTTTAGGTGGTGGGGAGAAAAGAGATTCTTTTAAATTAAAAGTGGTTTGGAAATATGGTTAGCAAATCAGTGAGAAAAGCTGTAGTTGGCCTATGCCAGTGTTGTCCAAACTTGGCCACTTTAAGATGAGTGGACTTCAATTCCCAGAATCAAATCAGTGAGAAAAGCTGTAGTTGGCCTATGCCAGTGTTGTCCAAACTTGGCCACTTTAAGATGAGTGGACTTCAATTCCCAGAATCAAATCAGTGAGAAAAGCTGTAGTTGGCCTATGCCAGTGTTGTCCAAACTTGGCCACTTTAAGATGAGTGGACTTCAATTCCCAGAATTCCCCATGCTGGCTGGGGAATTCTGGGAGTTGAAGTCCATTCATCTTAAAGTGGCCAAGTTTGGACAACACTGGCCTATGGCAATCATGAGGGTTTGCAGCTCCCGAGATCACATTTGCCTTCTCAGATTAAGGGACTCAATCTTTGCACTTGAGTTGAGGTTGGAGCATCAAAAGCCATTGTGACTAGCAAGAACGTGGAAGCTATATGGATAGGAGTCCACCAGAACTAGCAGCTTTGGTGGCTGAGTCATTCCACATTTTGAGAAATATTGCTTTCTGATTGAACTTACTCCAATTCTGCTTTATAAAGTATATATAGAAAGATAGATAGAGATTACAACAAATGCTAAAATCATGTCTTGAATAAATGTCAGACTCTTGTCTCAGAGATAACATTTTGAAAGGAATTTCAATTTAGTCTTGGAACCCATCGCTGTTTGGAGGATTTTGTTCCTTGGTACTTGAGCTGAGATGATGTCTATATACATCCTGAATTTCATCAGATAATCAAGTACATACAAGAAAAGATGGATAGGACTCATTTATTAAATATTTGGCAGATGAGAAAACATGGCTTCTAGTTTACAGCTTTCTATTTGACTTGTTCCCGACATGTACAGGATCTCCCATATATTTTAACAAACTTTAATGAAAACATTTGCATTCACACACTCAGAAGCTCTCTCACACACATACACATTCACCCATGCATATGAGTGGGAAAAGAGTTGTAAACTGGAATTATTACATTCATCCTCACATTGGTTTTCATTGTACCAAGCTTAAGTTTTGGTGTGCTGTGCAGTAGACAAGATTAATTGCCAGTTGTAGAGCTAGTATTGTTTGAGATCCAGGATGAATGTGTCAAAAAGAAAACACATGCATACATTCACACGTACACAGTGCAGAGTTTCCTTGCTTCCCACATCATGGTTTCTAGAGAAATTCTGCTTCCTCTTTTCTCTCTCAATAGCAAAACACGGTCCTCCACTACATCTTGGTAACAATCGGCACATGTGGCTTGCCTTCCATATTTTTGTACAGTATCACTGCTACCCCAGTGATAACATGTTCACAATGACTGCAGTATGGCAAGCCATAATCAGTGAGGGCCAAGGCCAATTGAAAGCATCCGGGAATAATGGTGGGAGGGAAGGTTTGCTCCAATACCTTTGTAACACACACCTTGTCTCTGCATCCCAGGGAGAATACTGGCTGACTTGCCTTTGGTTTCCATCTGGAAGAATGCTCTGCTCTGCTCTGCCTTGTGTTTGGTATTGCATGTCTCACCTCAGTCACAGCTTCGCTTAGATGCCTAGACACATCATGGGTGTGTTCACACACTAGGTCAAAGACCCAGCAGCTACATTTACACAACATGTGAAGCTAGGTTAGTTTTAGTTTTGTTTTTGTGGTTTAGCATGGTGTTAGTCTAGGGTGAATGTACTGAACTTAGAAAATGGGTAAATTCAATAACCAAGCTAAGCGTGTTGCGTGAACACAGCCATTCTCTAATTTCTGCCTGCTGATGCCAGTTCCCAGAAATGTGCCAACAGTTCCTCTAATATAGCTTCCTTCCTGTCCCTTGCAGAATGTCACGAGGAAGAAAACTGGGCCTTTCAGAGAATGTTAAAGAGTGTACAGCAGCAGCAGCAGCAGCAGCAGCAGCAGCAGCAGCAGCAGCAGCAGCAGCAGCTTTCCCAAACAAGCCTAATTTCTCTATACAGACCAAAATAGTTCTGGAGGAGAGGCCTATGTGGCTGGGTAGAAGTCTACATCATTTTAATTGGGCTTGGCATATACACTGCCCTCTCCCACAGCTGCAAGACAGGTCACCCAGCAAACAGGAACCTCAAGGCCCCTCAGTTAGGCCCCCATGCTTTCCCAGAGCTCTATCCCAGCTGTGCCTCCAGTCTCCTGCTGGATCTGCTCATCTTTTCTGGTCACCCACACTTGTACCCGCAAAGGGCCCTCCACCCATGCACCAAATTACTTGGACATAGAGAAATGAGGATGATGGACAGCTCACCAAGAACTCACACCTGGCTGTTCTGTGATTCTGATAAACAAAACCAAGTTCTCTTCTCAGCTGCCTTCTCTCAGAAGCTGGTTTTGAGGGACTAAATGTGACCCAACCAAAGCAGCAATATTTTGCCATCTTTGACACTGTGTGTGTGTGAGAGAGAGAGAAAGAGAGAGAATGAGTGGCTTTGTTTTTGTTAAAACAAAATTAATTTAAAAATTACATTTTTAATTTTGGTTAAAATTTTTGTTACCAAAATATTTTAAATACACACATCTATTTTGAGGAAAGATCAATCGACCTCTGTTAATGATCCTTTTCCGTGTCTAACATCCTTATGTAAGCTCTTGTGTGGGTCCAGGCATCTGTAGAGAGTACCTTTACAATATCCTGGAGTGCTCTAGTCCCCTAGGTCCAAACTCCCTCTTTCTGGTTGTTAAGTCTGTCTTCTGTTTCATTCAGTGCTCTGGTTTGTTTTTTTCCAATACTGCACTATCCCAATTCTGACACCAATTAACATGCCATAAATAGAGGGCATTCTGGAAAGCTGGGGCCCATGAGAACCTCAGCCATTCCACCTCTGATGAATCCAGGACTGCCAGGCCCTCCTTTTATCAGGAGGTCTTTTGCCAATCCTAAAGTAAAGATTTAAGGAGGGTTGTTGACTTACCCATGGAATGAAAAAACAAGCCTGATCATAAGGTTGATTTGTTTTGCTTCTGAGCTGGTTGCCAGAACAGCAGGGACAAGCCATGGAATAGGAAGCTTTTTCACTCAGTTCCACTCTCAGATCTGCTACACCTGATTGTCCTGCTCTGTCCTTTCCCTATCAGGATCAGACTAAACGCTATTCCAAATGCTGGCAATCTTGCCTGAAGCCTAAGAGAAGTTTTACTGCTGCTCACCGTCCAATGTCCTTTTTTTGGTGCTATTTATTTTACCATGCTGATGCCGTGGTATGTGAAAAGCTACTGACTCAGCACTGTGAGCCAGATATCCACAAGTGCAGGATGATGGATCTGAAAGGCTGGTTTCCCCCAACAGCAGTAGCATCACTCAGGGATTCCTGAAGGAGACTTACCCAAGCCGTTATCCCTGCTCCGAGCGCCATATTGCTGCAAGTAAACAAAAACTGGATGCCTCCCTCTTCCTTCCCATTTACAAGGCATCTTTGGATCTGACTCCAGCCCCACAATCTTGCTTTACTCTGTTCATAAACTGCCAGCCATACTGTAGGTTCTTCTTGGCCACATACTTCAAAACCACAAGGTATGGATTCAAAAGAAATGTTTTTGATACAGATAGATAGTGAAAAATTTCCACCCCTACAGTGACACTTTGGCTGGGTCTGCATGACACACTTATCCATGGTTGGCTGAAACATAGTTTACTCAATTACCCATTTTTCTGGGTTCACACAATATATTGAGATATAAATTATTCACAAAGCCTGGATTAGTTTGTGGTTAGTATGTCATGTGAGCATAGTCTAAGGATAGCTAAGTTCCCAACTTCAAGGATAATCAGATCTTGGTGAAAACAGCTATTTAATGCATCTTGAAAAGCAGGTGCCTGTCCTTTGACTTCCAGATGCTAAAAATATTAGACAGCACTAAGCCTTGCACACATGCCCAGAGAGCAGATCTTTTTCAACTGCAGTTGGGAGATCTTTCTGTCTCCTGGCTTTCAAAGGCACATTCACGATATTGAAAAGCACACTGCAAAATGCTTTGGAACAGATTCCCCTCCTTGCCAAATCACAGCAGCCAAAAAATGTTTTGCCTGAATTGCAAGAGTTCACACCTAGAAAAGAGAGAGGGCCTGAAGGGTTGGCAAGCATGCATGGGTCAGCTGGAGCAGCAATGCCAAATTCTCTGGGGACCAGCTGGCTGAACCAGCAGTCTTGGGCACATCTTCAGCCTCAGCAATATAGTTGCCAAGATGTTACTTAGCAGCAGATGGCAGAGAAAGAGCTTGACCCCTTATTTTATCTCTTACCAAATATTTTTTCAGGATTTCTCCTTTCAACAAGGTCAGAGGTGCAATTCAGAGCCATGCAGGATCCTCAGATGAACTTTGTGTGTGCTCAGAGGCATTCTTCATTGATTTTCTGGCCTACCCAGAAGTCCAAGCAGAAGAAATCTGGGCCATACTAAAGAAAAAGGAGACACAATGATTTGCTGAAGGTTCAAGAAAAGCTTTAGTGTACCAGAAGTGAAGCCTAGTTCAATTTGACACTGCTTCCATCAGGACTTACTGTGTGGCTGTTGAACTTTGGCCAAGAGCTCAGTGATATACCTGACCTCCAAGCCCAAGTGTTACAGGTGAAGGGCAGTTTGAGGAAAGGGAGTACTTCCTAAGCTCCTGTGGAATGCAGAGGGATGGGTGAGCCAATAGCCCCTCTAGGTATCTCAGCCTGTCAGGAAGGCTTAAAAACTGCCTTAAAGCCAACCCATGAGCCCTTCAGCTCCAGTAATATGAAACATATGTTGCTTTGTAGGCTAAAATATATGGTGTTATGGATGACATGATCCAGACTCATGGCATTGGGAGTCACTTTTAACAAGCGGAGGCTACAAATCTCACTCATCTGTCTTGTCGCAGCCTGAACAAGAGATCCTGGAGTTTCATGGAGGACTGAGCCTTTCTGTTATATTCACCTCCTGGAGTGGCTTGCAAGAAAGGACAGAGATACAACTGCATAAGAGTTTGGCTCTGGAGGTAGACGACAGCAGGAAGAGAAGCTTCTGGGGATCAATATGCAGGACCTTTTCAGCTGCAATAGACAGTGGCAATTGGCAATTTGGGGCTGGTTGAAAGCTGCTGCACCTACTCCTGAGGCTGGCATTTGTGCGTAGAGGGGCCCATTGTGAGATCTAGCAAATCATCTCATCCAGCATGACCTCTCAGCTTCTAGAATGGGAGGTGGCAGGAGATGGAAAGAATGTTTCATAAGCAGGGATTGCTCTGTCATGTAGTTCAGGGTTGGACAGAAGGCAAAATAGCATCTGCTAGCAGATATTTGATTTTGATCAGTAGACCTGTATAGTAATGGTAATGATTTTGTACTTCCAACAAGGTAAACAGCCTCTTGAATTGACTCAATTCTTGGTGACTACGTAGACTTCTAAGTAATTTTCTTTGTTACTACATGGAAATGGTTCACTATTGGCTTCTTCTAGAAGGTTTAGCAAAAAATCAAGTTTCTCTGCCCACCTACTATACATGATGGAGGGTTGTCATGACAGAGGAACCTAAATATGGTTGCTGAACTGAAGAACCTCTGGCCTGTCCCAGTCAGGTATGCCCTGTGTTGGCAAAATGGTTAAGCAAAATGGTTAAAAATCCCTTAATTTCTGATTGCAGGTTTTGCTGTGGTCACACTAATCCCAGTTTTGGGTATCTGTCCATGTGTATTTCTATAGCTACAGGCAACTATTTATAATGCAAAGGATAGCAACATTTCAATTACCTAATCTGAACAAACAAAAGAGGATAGATGTAGAACTCTCCTGTATGACTGTACAAATTGGGGTTTTAGCAAAATGAAGCTCTTGGTCCTAAAACTGGAGTTTCAGATCTTCAAAAACAATCAGTTGAACATTTGTGCATGACTTTCTCTTACCCCTAAAAGGCAATATGGAACTTGTAAGCCTGTTCCCTGGAGAACCAGCACAGCCAGCCAGCTCAGTCAGAGTTCACTCTGAGGCTACTCCATATCTCCATCAGAGCAAGCCTCTGAAAGGAAAAGGGAATCACTTATGGATGGAAGGGACTGAAAGGTTCCTCAGACACCAGAGCAGGCAGGCTGACTGCTTCACTGCATGACTGGCATTTGATGCTGGAAAGGGCATTGGGTGATAGCAGTACTTGCTCAAAACAGCTTTCTTTTCACTGAGTCATCATGTAAGGCAACAATCACAAAACCACCTGTTCTGAGAATTCTCTAAAGGTAGCTTCCAGATGCTGGACCTTTCTCCCATGCTTCTCCTGTCATCAGGGCTGATGAAAGGCACACTAGAGTATCATGGTGGAAATCCTCAAAGCTGCCCATTTAATGAAATGAAACAAAGGGCGCATCTACCAAGTCACTACCCTATACGACCCTCAGTGAAGCAAGCCAGCTGCATGGGGGCATGGTGGTGATGTTCTAGTGGTGCTTTCTAGTGGTGCTCTCATTCATTTTGATGAGACTGACAGAGAAAAATCTCCAGATGGTTTGGCCCTGTGGGTCAGAACTGTCCATTTATCACTAAACCATCTTTAGTGGTGCCCAAGTCAGTTGCCTCCTGGCAGCACCACCACTGTCTCACACACCTTACTTCTCACCTGCACTGTGTGACATGCATTCACAAACAACCCAAGCAACCTGCCATTCATAGACAAAAGCAGCATTCTGAAAAGGCAAGAGAGGCTGCTGTCACATCAGTCCACAGCCTGCATTCATCTCTGTTACTTAGTGAAGAAACTCAGCCAGTTGCAAGTCTGCTCATGAGGGACTGAAGATCACAAATGGAACTGCCAGTGCATGGTAAGGTGTGAACAATGAAGCCCAGGGAGAGAATGGGGACAATTTACAGGAAGGCGGCTTGCATTTTCAGAAGCCATTATTCGAAAAGCTTTCTCATTGAAACAGAGATGAGGCTTTGTCCAGTTAGCACTGGGACACCTACAGAAATAGGACATGCAAACTTAAGGAGATGCCCCTGCCCTCCCCCCCAGAAAGCCGCTCTGTCTGTTGGAAGAAGACTGCTCCCCTGCAATAGTTGCGTTAGTCACAGCTTCACAATGGTGGATGTGTCAGTTGGATCATGCCTCTTCTGAAGGATGAGGAGACGTCTTTAGAATAGGAGCTCACACCTTGTTACCTGTATCAAGACACAGAGAATCTCATAGGACACCTGTCCCATAGGAGACACACACAGAATTTTAAATCTGCCTAAAAACTAGTTTAGCCAGTGGTCAGTTTAGCCAATTCCCTTATTTGTGTCTCTCCTATTGTCAAGGTTCTTTTGTGGAGGGCCAAAAATATTAAACGAGGCTTCAAACTGGTTTCTGTTTGCTGCATATACATGCCATATGCATCTCCTTAAAAAGCTACAGGCTTTTCAAATTGCTTCCAGATCATAGTCCCAGTAGGTGATTCCTTGAGGGCTCCAAGACCCACATGAAAGAAAAAATCCTTTTGAATCAGCACTTCACTGGAAACGCAGTGGGATCTCTTAGATGACTGCAAGAGTAGAGCACAAAGCATTTCAAGCAAGACGGGCATAATAATTCCACTAAGTGCTAGTAGACTTGTAAAACTGGGAGTGTAAAACTCATCACAATGAGGTCTCCAACATTTGGATTTCTTGCATTCCCAATTGCTCTCCCATTCCATTAGCTACACCAAACAGGATTTCTGTCTGACCATAAATATGAAATGGTGAAATAGGCATCTGGTTCCTCTGAATGAAAGCTGTCAGGATAGGTCCAGACCACATCAGCTGTGTTGGCAGCAGAAAGAAACTTCTGGGTTCTGTGAAATCCAAAAGCTTGCTATAAAAGGTCACTATTTGTACTGCACATCACCTGTACTATGTGGAGCAGTTACACCTAAGATTGTGCCCCTTTGTTCTATAACTCTGGGGCAGAACATAAGTTTGACATCCCAAAAGTCCTAAATTCAACCCCTGGCATCTGCAGATAGAGAAGGGGAAATAATTATTTCTAAAATCCCTGGGAAGTTGCTATTGTCAGTAGACTAGACAGCCCTAAAATCTGCCTCAGTATTGACAGAATTCTATCCTCGTAAACAATGTTTAAAATGTGGAACCTAGTAAGCAATCCTCAGTAGAAACAAATATTTTGACTTTTAGACCATCAGTAGGACCAAGTTCATAAGTCACGAACAATGCTGAATATGACTCTTAGCAAAGCTGATAGCAGCGGTAAACCTGGGCTAGTATGTGTAATTCATATCTAAGGTTGGCCCTGACATGAAGAAAAGTGACTCAGCTTTCATAAGTCACCTGGGTGGGATGGGGCTTACAAGACTCAGAGCTGTCATATTGTCAGTCGGCATTTCCAGTAAAACGTCCCCACAAAGTGGACAATAAGCACTATCAAGAATATTACTGCCATGCCAAAAATGTATAAAAGAAAGAATAAGGAATTGAGTGTGGAGACCTCCAAGTAAGCTTTTGGCCACCAGAACTCATGCACCCAAACCTCAGGGAACATGGTTTCTGAAATACGACTGCCTTTTATCTTTCCAATGGGGAACAGGGAGGAAACACATAATCAAGCAGGGTATTTCCATGCCCATAAATTCCCCATATATTAACTGTAAATAAGAAACTGGCTGATGGTCTAAAAATCCATAAGAGATACAAGCAATAAACAAAAGTTCAACCGGTAAATCATTTAAATCATATTATGGATTGTGAACTGCCCAGAGCCTGATGCATATAGTTAGCACAGACTTTTTGAAACAAGCAAAGCATTTGAATATCAGAACAGATACAAGGGGGAATCTCTAGCGGGGTATTTGCCCACCACCACCACCAAACCTATACTAACTACTCTGCTATTGTCATAGTCTCTGCCTGTCTATGAAGAAAGAATGGTGGACAACCCTAACGTTTGTCTCTGATTCAGCTGTAAGAATTACAATGGCTTCTGCTTGGAACAGGAATGGCCATACACTTACTTAAACCTCTGGCTGGTCCAGATTGTTTTTTAATTTAACCTGCAAGAAGCAAAGGAAAGTTTGATAGATAGATAGATAGATAGATAGATAGATAGATAGATAGATAGATAGATAGATAAAATATAAAAGAAATAAAGCAGGGATCATTTTTATTTTCAGGTTTTAAAATGTGAACATTATGTCTCTGAAAGAAGCATGTGTATTAGTCAACTTTTTAAACAAAGTTAAAAAGAATTAGTAGTCCAAAGACAAATCAGGAAAGCTAAATCACACGGTACACTGTTCAGTCAGTTCCATTAACAAGGAACTATTAAATGCCTGGAGGAAGAAATACACCTATTGGTAAGCGAATATGTGTGTGCACAAACACGTGAAAGTAAATCACATCTGTGACATCCTCAATGTCACTGGCAAGATAATTGTCTTGAAAATAGTTTGAACTAACATTGTAGATATTTTCTTTTCCATGCCATTTGGTCTCTGAGTTCACTGTGGCTCTACCCATATTAGGCCTTTTCTGACCTTACATCTATCAAGATTGATTAAACCAAACTGCCAGGCCGTCTAGCTGATCATTACAGCTAGGAGCCAAAAGAGTCACTTGCGGAGCCCTCTGTTGCACCTGGCCAACCTACATCCATCAGCAACAGGACCGACCGACCGACAGCCACCCAAGACTGAGATCAAGGTGAACTGTGCCATGCGTGCTTAAGTTCTGTTTTCTGATTAATCATGGACATGTTTTAAATTTGAAGAATGTTATGCTTTTTAGCCCATTCCAAAACCTTGCCAAATACTTGATAAAGGAGACACGGCAGCTTTGCTTTTACCTCGGTCTTTCCCATTCTGCATCTTGTCCTCCTCTTCCTCCTCCTCGCCTCCTTCCTCTCCCCCTAAGACAGAAAAAAGCCAGCAGCAGTGAGAACAAGTGAGGGGGCAGAGAGGGAGCAGGGGGTTGTAATGGCAGGTGGCTTAAGAAGCTGTGCTACTCTTTCTACGGGTGACCTCAGGTGCAATTCCTTCTACAAGATGGCATGACCAACACAGACAGAGGGTACAGCTCACAAGCTTTGGTCTGGATCTCTGGCTGTGCCTGGAGTCTAGAAGCCAAAAGCTTCAGCCAGACTGGGACGACCAAGCATATTCTCAACAGAAAACAGAATCCTGAGGTTAAAAGAACTGAATGGCACATTCTGCAAAGGATGCATTATAACCCCTCTTAACCCTCCTGAGTGGAAGTCGTTAACATCAAAATCAATCAAACAAGATTCTAAAAGATTGAGTGTGTACATTCAGCAGGAAAAAACCTTTGTATACACCATGTACATTGGTTTCAAGTTATTCCATAACATTCATTTCTTAAAATGTGCACTATTTTTATTAATTTATTTATATATCAAATTTGTCACCACCCATCTCGTTGAAAAGCAACTCTGGGTGGTTTACAGAGGAGATAAAATCAATTAAAATACAATATAAAAACAATCTTAAAAATAATAAATACATTCCAAGAATGATGGGTTTGGTGAATAACTCAGGGAGTGACATCAGGGTGCCAGCCACCCCCCAGGATTGATTAAAACTCTTATCGCCCCATGCAAGCTGGCAGAGCCAGGTCTTAAGTCCTTTCTGGAAAACTGGGAGGGTAGGGGTCCGCCACACCTCTTGGGAGAGAATATTCCAAGTAGGCATTGTACAGGGCAGAAAGCAGCTGGGTGGTGGGCAGGGGTACAAACAGAGGAGCTAAAAGTAGAATATGATGGACAAAAAGCTGAAAAGAGCAAAGAAAGAGGAAATGTCTCACAAGAGAAGAAGAACAAGACTGCTATAGAGAAAAGAGAGGCTGTTTTCTCAGAGCAGTAAGATACATGGATATAGTACCTTGTAGCCCATTTACAGTGCAAACTTAAGGCTCTAGGACAGGAGTGTACAAGTGCAACTTTGCTGGCTCAAACTGCAGACTATATTCCATAAATGAGCGGGGGCAGGGGCTATTTTAGGCTTCAGGGGTTTTAAGGGGTTCTTTAAACATTTGTAAGGCTTAAGGAGCTCACTTTGTAACTTAAATTGCCCATATCTAAAAATAAAAAATAAAAAAGGAGCCATATTTTAGCCCCACCTGTTCTGGGGGGCTCTGAGGGCATCACAAAAGAGGCTGGGACTACCTTTTCTGCATTGCTGCTGTAGGTCCAGCATGGAGAATGGAATCTACACTTACCTGGCTTTCCAAAGTGATCATGGAGGAGCATGGGATAGAGATGTAGACTACCTTTCTTGAGGTCAATCAGCTATGTGGGCTTAGGAGCATGGAAGATGTCATTTAAATGTGCCCTCCACCTATGGCCTTTATCCAAAGTCCTTGCGGCAAGATTGTAACCAATCTGCTTTTTATTTTGTAGTGATAGAAGGGCTGGATTTAAGCCATATCTCCTACTGGCTTCCTTGGCTGAGTCCAATGAAACCACTTTTTGATTCTCATAATAGCTTGATTTCTTTTAACAATCACCGAGGATGCTGTAGGCCAGACAGAGGACAAATTTCAGATTGTACAGCTGTAAGGTTTCCATAGGGAAAACAGGCTCAAAAAAGGTAAAGAGGGTTGGGACAGGATGTTGTTATATCACGGCCACTTCAGTCATAAGCTGCCCAGCTCAGCATTAGCTGTTGGGGAGCCCTAATTCCAGCTGTTTCTCTTGATTTACACAAATGCAAGGAGGTCAGAAAGTTTCCAGGATCTCCTTGCCTGCCTCTCATCAAAGTGGGCGCCTGCAGTTTGTTTCATCTGTCAACTGCCTGAACTGCAAAGAACTCAACACAACACAAAAACTTGGATGCTGCTGGTAGAATAAATCCCATTTTTTACAATTTGTACACATCTTTTCATTTCCCAGAGTGAGGAGAACAGTCTGGCCAATTCAATTCAGAGCCTCAGGATTCCATACTGTCAGAACCAATAGCTGCAAATTTGGAGTCCACAAATACCAAGTGTGCCTGTTCTGCAAAAACCCTCAGCAACTTCCCAGCTAAACAAAAAGATCTGAAGATCATGAAAATAGCACAGGAAGGCCATGTATTTGCAAGCCTGAGGAAGAGTTATTGCTCTGCTGCCATCTTTGTTTTAGTTACCATGTAAAAGAGCACTGGAGTGCCCAGGCTTTCAGACTGCTTTCTAAGAATAAATCAGAACACTGGAAGACCCTGTAGGTTGCTGTAATTGTGCCATATTCTACCTATGCCACAAGGCCATGGATATATGACTAGCATGAAATATTAGAGGGTCTGAGTAGACTCTTTAGACCTGTCTATTGAATCTATTTAGTCAAAAACAAGCATCCAGTTGCTTATAGACAACAAACTTAAAGTAGTTTCTTCTTTGGGATACCTCCCCGGTTTTATTAATCACATGTAACTCACATGACCATTTTGGTTAGGAGAATGATAGGATGTCACCAGTACATTTTGGGGCCTGCTACTGTTACCCCCAGGAATGCTATGGTGAAATCTGAGCCTTTTGTACAGAGTTGACAGCACTCCCACTCTGTCTTTCCGGCCTTCCTATAGAGTTTGCATTCTGATCATGCTCTAGCGTCTGGTTTCTCCAGTGCGTTTAGTATGCCCTTTTGTGACCTGTTCAGCCTGATTTGTTCCCTTGCTTCACCATGACTCAAAATAGAGAACTAGATCAAAATCTACATACATATATACCCCAGATTGATTTCTTGTATGACTCAGGCTATGGTGCTATAGTGATACAGAAGGAATTGCCTAATGGCCAGGTCATCCAAGGAACAAATTATTCCATCTGGATTCTCCTCTTTAGAAGTTATTCCATCCCTGCTAGGAATCCCACATTTGATGACAGCCTATCTTACATTAATGTTTTAATTACTAAAGATGGGTTACCAATTTTATGAATAAAAAAAGTAAAATAAATACTATTGTTTTTGCTTTCGACCAGCTGGTAAATGAAAATGCCTTGATCTTGAAAATCCCCAGGAAATCCCCACGTAACATGAGTTTGTAAAGTATTTTCAAAGATTCAGATTCTTCCTGAGCTCTGTTAGCTAAATCTAAGTATGGTTTGATTTTAAAAATAAATGTGGCATTTCTGATTCTAGTCCACTTAATTTTTAAATATTCTAGTGGAAACTGATGATTAGTCTTTTGGTCTACCTAGAAAATGGATTTATCCATGTGCCAGACTTGTGAGCTATACTTGTTCGTTTGTTTGGGAGGTTAAAGAGGAACTCAGGAACAGGGTACTAATCTTGTCTAAGCTGCAACTCTTAGGTCTAGATCAGTGTTTTTCAAACTTGGCATCTTTCAAATGTGTGGACTTCAACTCCCAGAAAAGTTTGAAAAACTGATCTAGGTTCTTATAGATTTAGGCTGCGGGTTATTAATAATTAGTCAGCTCAGAAATGGCAGCTGCAAAACTATGTATCTCTAAAATATATGGCACTGAGGCATCCAGTCTCTCCTCATTGTGTGGGAGGCACAAACTTCAATTTGCTACTGAATTATGTCTATGTTCTCCTTTGAAACCAATCTCTCTTGGTATACGCATGTACCTTTTGGGCCTCTTCAGCTAGCTATCACCGTTCTCCGAACTGCAGCTGCCTTCCAGATTTGTTTGACTACAGCTCCTAGTCCCCCAAGTTGCCATAGATTTTGGGAGCTATAGGCATCACATCTGGAGGAAAATCAAGAGTCTAAATGTTTAGTCAATTGCATATCATCGCCTACAGCTATCCAAAGTTCTGCAGGAAAAACATATTCCACATTCTCCATCAGCTCATTTGGGCAATTAAAATATTTTCACCTCTATCCTTAAAGCTGATTAATTCCTCCTGCTGGCCTTCCATTCTGCCAAAAATTGTTCTTCTGTGTTTTGATAGCAAGTGTTGTGATGTGGAGCATGTATGCCTTGAACCAAAACATATAGATAATTTTATTTATATCTTGTCTTTGTGGTCAGACAAGTGGGAAACAAACACCACTAATACTAAAATAAAGTACAATTTAAAACAGAATGAGACCAAAGTTATTTAATTTACTACTTATTTCAAAAAGGACATCCTAAATCAGTGTTTCTCAATCTCAGAGCCTTTAGGATGTGTGGACTTCAGCTCCCAGAATCCCCTAGCCAGCATGCTG